CTGCAGCTGAAGGCAAACACACTTGTTTTCACAGTCTTATGTTGTGTGTGGGCAGATGGAGAGTGTATATGAATGTTAATGACATATTTCAGTTTATTTCTGGTGGCTTTAAACTGGGCCATACTAGTGTGGACTTGGTCCTGTTTGTTTGGGTGATTCCTAATCTCTTTTATTCTTTGATGCATTAATGGAGCATCTTCTTACTTTTTCTTTTTTTAAGGTGCACATGCTGGTGAGGAACATTGTGCCTTTGCAAAGCTTGAGATTGACCTTGGTTTACTTTTCCTTATTAGTCATTCACTCCTTAGCTTCCAAAGCTCTACTGGAATCTTTCTTGCCCAGTTCCCTGGGGACCTGTGAGTTGTACATTTCTCTTTCTCCCTTAGCTGACCTCTGCATACCCTTGACTCTGATGATACTCTCTTTTCCCTTGTCTTCACATTTCCTTTGGTTCCTTCTTCCTCCCTAGCTGCTTCCTAACCATCCTTCACTGCTGTCTCCTCCTACAGTGTCGCCTCTGTCCTGGCTTGCCTGCTTTTCTTACTCTGCATATTATCTCTGAGTGATCTCATCCTCTCAAATATTTATACTTCTACAATTTCCAGTTATCAATCTCTCTCTTGAGGTCCTGACTTGCATACCCAAGTACCTAAGGACAAAACACCTTAAACTTAACATACTCAGGGTTAAACCCAAATTTCTATCTTGACATTATTATTCCCTCCTTCACTCCCTCCTAGGAAAAGTAACCATCATCTTCAGTGTTGCTCAAGCCACTGAAAAGAAAAAGAAATTCTGAACCTGCTGCTTTCTCTAATATTACACCATTATCTCAACTAGTTCTGTTCATTTTAAAATTATATCTTTCTGGCAGTATTGTGAGGCACCTAGAACAGGTACTGATTCTTTGCTCTTTCAGATGGAGACTTCTGGAGAAGCTGAGGCTCCACCCCGCCCCGCATAATTAAAGGTCTAGGAAGCATCAGTTCTGGGAAAGAATGGAAGTCTTTAATTTCTATTTTCTTTTTAAAATATATATTATTATATATTATTATTATATATATTATTAGTTGTAGATGTGCACAATACCTTTATTTTGTTTATTTATTTTTATGTGGTGCTGAGAATTGAACCCAGTGCCTCACATGTGCAAGGCAAGTGCTCTACCACTGAGCCCCCAGCCCCAGGCCCCGGAAGTCTTTACTTTCTTATATGTTATTTATATAAGAAGGAGAAACAAGCAAAAACCAAATGCACCACAAGGGAGCAGTTAATGTCCTCCCAGTAGTAAGAATTCAAAGGCATAGGCTTCCACTGTTTTGTGTTTTCTCTTTACCACAAGAGAGATGTTGGACCCTCACTGTCCTTACTCAGAGCCACAGCTACTCTTGGAAATAATTTTTTTAAAGAGCTATATTGAGATACACTTTGCCTACTATACAATTCACCTTATTGAAAATATGTAACTCAGTGCTTTTAGTATGTTCACAGGATTTTGCAACTGTTAGCGCTATCTAGTTCTAGTACATTTTTTGTGCCCCTCCCCGCCCCCAGTTCCTTGTACTCTGTCAGGTCCTCCCTAGTTCAAGTAACCGCTAATGTATTATTTGTTTCTAATTTTTTTTTTGATTCTTGGTATTTCATATAAATAGAATCATACAATATGTGGTCTTTTGGATCTTTTCACTTAGCATAATATTTTTAAGATTTTCTCCTGTTGTACCATATCGCAGTGTTTTGTTCCTTTTTGTGGCTGAATAATATTCTCTATTCATTTTGTTTTTTCATTCATTAGTTGATAGTCCTTTGGATTTTTTCCACCTTTGGCTAATATGAGTGATGCTGCTATGAACATTTGTGTACAAGTTTTTGTGTGCACATATGTTTTCACTTTTCTCGAATGTATACCTTCGAATGAAATCACTTTGTCCATATGGTAACTCTGTGTTTAATGTTTTGGGGAACTGCCAAACTTTTTTTCCACAGTGGCAGTACATTTTCTATTCCTACCAGCCTTGAATGAAAGTTCTAATTTCTCAACAACCTTACCAACACGTTTTGTCTTTTGATTATAGCTATCTGGTATATCAAAGTGCAATATCATTTTGATTTGATTAGCATTTTACCGGTGGCTAGTGTTTTTGAGCATCTTGTTGTTGCTTATTAGTCATTCATTTTTATATATATGTTGCTATTTTTTTCTTTTTTGCAGCAATGTATATTCTAACCTGTGTCCATTTTAAAATTTGGTTGTCTTTATTACAAGTTAGGAGTTTTTAGGTATTCTCATTACCAGTCTTTTATCAGGACTTGTGTGATTTGAAAATCACTACTTTGATATCATGTATTGCCTTTTCACTTTGTTGATGGTATCCTCTGGGGTAGTAATATTTTTAATTTTACTGTCAGAACTACAGTTTTATTACTATTACATGATTGCTTTGTGATGAAGCAGAAGCCAGCTTCCCTCCTATTAACGTGGGTGAATGTCTCACATAGGTAGAACTCCAGTGCATACTCTCCATGCCTGGCCTGTATCTTCTTCAGTCCCTCCCCTGTTTCCTAGGCTGTGATGGCCTCTGTAGACACAGGCCTGTCTTGACCTTGAGCCTCCAGCAGTAGCTGAAGCTGACACTATGTTTGCATTTTATCTAGGATCTCTATTTCCATGATTTTGCTGGATACCATGAATCTCATCTTACACGTCATTTGTCCACTGGTCTCTTTTCTAAATGGAGCAGGGCTCTGTTAGAGCATTGTCAAGCTGTTCTTCTCCTTAACTGACAGATAAGGTGTGCAGTCATGGAGCTTAGGCCCCGAGATAACCGGACAGTAGCACCCTTTCATTTAGAGGAGCCACTGGTGTTCCATTGTTTTCTACTTTATTGCTAGGTCACAGTCTAGTACCTAGAACTTCAAGCCACTGGGATGTTGCACACTACTAGGCTTCAGGCTTCTGAATGTCACGGATCAATGTGCTTTCAAAAAGTGTTGAGTATAACATGTGGTCATTAAATTTTAATTTTGTCAAGTAAGGACATTTGGCAACATAATACCATTATGACAGAAAATAACTGAGATTTCTCTGCTGGGAGAGTGCTACAAATATAAAATTAAATAAATTTAACTTAGCAAAAAGTCAATATATTGTTTTTATTTTTCTTATTTTACTGCCTACCACTGAAAAATAGATATGATCTGCAGATTTATATTTTGAAACTACAGTCTTATATACTTATCATAATCTTTATTTGAAAAGTAGAACCTTCTCTTAACTGGGTATTTACTATGTGTAACTCCAGTTTTGTTATTTTTATTATTATGACAATTATTTCCAGGCACCATATTAACTATTTCAGCTGTTCTGGTTAGTCATATCTTCCTGTACTTTGTACCTTTGCTGATATTTGTGTCGCTCTCCAATAACACAGATGAGAAAGAGTAATTTTCTTAGAAATATGAGTATAAATATGAAAAATGATATTTTAAATTATCAGTCAAAAGGTGTATAATTTCAAGATTAAGTATGTGTCCTAGAGTGGCAGTACTGCATAAATTCTGTTTCTGTCTCATCTAAATTATGATGTCAATAGATATTAGGGTTTTGTCATAAGATAGTTATGGGCCTACATATTGGCATACTAATTACAATAACTGGGCAGTAAAGAAGCCATAGTAATAGATGATATGCTATACATTTTGATGAGATGGTAGATACCCTCTATTATTTATGGTAACACCATCTTGTTAACTGGCATTCTGTCAAGCTCTTTCGCTATTTCTTTGTACTTTACTGGTAGATTTACCAGTCTGTTCAGGAGCTCTGAACTGAGAGCCATATAATATATAATAAAGCTCAAAATCTAAGATTTTTTGATACTTTCTCACGCTATACACAGGAAATTAGTTAAAAAAAATAATTGCTAACCACTACTAAATGCTCCTGAATATACCAGAGACATGTAAGTCAGTGCCTACCCTGAAAGATTAATAATGGAAAAGGGCAGTAAAATATTTGTATATGAATAAATGTGACCCGCAATTACTGAGCCACATATGTGAGCCATATATGATAAGTTCCATAAAAATGGATTAAAATACTACACAAATTCAGAGGAGGAAATGGAGATTCTAGACTTGGGTGATCAGCGAAGCTATATGTCTTGGTGTTAGAAGAATTGCTTTGTACCCTGACCTAAAGCTCTGTACTATCTCTAAATACACAATCTGCATTCTAGTATGGTAGTGACAGGTAGGTGGCTAAATGCCCTGACACAGAAATCAACTTTTGTTCTAGGCCCAGCTGCCTTGCAACCTCATTTTGTGTCCTTGAGTATATAAAATCGATGTAATAATATGTGTCCAGCATATCTCACTATGATAAATGAGATAATGCGGATGCCTAAGCTGCTCCCTGTAGTGAAAGTCAGATTGCTTGGCAGGTGTGTATTTTTTTTTTCAGGCACCTTAGGCCATATATTTGAATGGTAGTAAGCATGGCTTTCCATGACTAAAAGGATTAGAATCCTTACCAAAGTACCCAATTTATTGCTAGGGAATAGCATATTCTGTGCAACATCTGAGCTGTTGTCTGAAGAAATTGCCTGAATTCCTTGGAGAAGCTGCCTGGGTGAATATAGAGTGGTAGAATTGTAATCACTGAAATACATTAAAAAGAATACAAACATTCATTGAGCTTCTATTGCTACTTTAGGGACTTTATAATTGATTTTTAAATTCTTAAATTATTTTTGTTTTGTAGCAAAGGTAACTGAGGCTTAGAAAAGTATTTTTTTTAAGTTGCATAGAATATGCCACTGTTTGAAATCAAATCTGTTGAAGTGTGATATTTGTGCTGTTTATGTTGAAGTATGTTATTTCACTTTACTACACCTGATGTTTTTCTCATAGACCAGTATAAACCATCCATCAGTATGCTTGCATGTTTGTGTGTTTGTGTAAATGTTATTTATTTATCTGTTTGTTTGTTTTGTAACTAGATTACTTCTAGAGCTGCTGGAGCTGCTGTTTGACAAATTTAATGCTGTAGCCACTGCACACTCTGTGGTCCTGGGATACCTGCAGGACTCTGTCGGGAATCCACCAACTCAACAGGAAGAAATCAAATTGTATGATATGGCAGATGTGTGGGTGAAGATCCAAGATGTGCTACAGGTACGGGATTTTTGCAAAGGGTGTCATCTTGATTTAGGACAGCAGTTTAGAACAACAATAGTAATAAATCAGTCAACTAAAATACTACATTAAGACTCATAAACAGTGAGAAAGTAGTGCTTCCATTTAAAAGGGAAACTGCTGATAAAATTAACTTTTACCATCTTCAGAAGGCCATTTAACAGTTTCTTTTTGCCTAACTTTAAAAATAAGAACAGATTGTTAATTTGTATCAATCAAAGATGTATAGTATAATGCTTTCTGTTGTATTATATTTTTCTTTACTGGAATTAGGTATATATAAGGTAAAAAATTAAAACACCCTTAAACACCATTTCATAAAAATATATGCACTTATTTGTATTGACTATTTTCTAACAGTCACCTTTTGCATATTTTGGGCTATATGACATGTTAAGAGCTTATTCTGATAGAAGAGAGTAAATCTGTAAGATATAAATGTATCACTTTGATCTGTTGAAGATCAGAGGAATTATATTACTGTTTGGTATGATACTGCTGAGATGGCATTTAGAAACTGTGCTGTATTTTCTTTCCAGCAAAATATACTTGATTTGGCCAGATGAAGATTAGAAATGCAATTAAGAGTTAGCTGAAGCAAGTTTGAAATAGCTAAATAGAAATGACTCAGTTAAGTAGTACCTACTAGTAGGAAAAAAATTAAGTATGTAGGAAATTGAAAAATATAACTATGTAGGAATGAAATTACTTGCATGGCAAATAGGAATCTTTGCAGTAAAATATAAATCATGAATATAAAATGTAGTCATTTTTGAGAATATAGGCATGCTCTTGGTGGATTGAATGATTGATTCTTGGTTATTCATTCATTAGATTTTTTTTGTATAGTGCATTTGCTTTATTGATGATGGTTCAGTAGAAATAATATGGTTTGAAATTACATTTTCTGAGTTATTTTTTACCAATATGTCAATTATCTTGTACCCATAGTAGGTGCTTGATGAATATTTACTTATTGAATTAAATATCTTTATGGGCTGGTGATTCAATATTTTACATCTTGACTTGATAATCTGTCATGTGGAATTAATATGTGCTTTTTATGCAGTTTATTTTCAGGATAAAATAATAGATTTTAAAGCTTTTTAAAAATATAATTAGCATTAGGAGTTTCTGGTTCTGGCCTTGATGAAGTTTCCTCTTGCTGGAAGCAAAGATAAAACTGGTTAGATTCAGATAGCAGAGAGAAAACACATGAGGGGAGCTTCATATTTATCACTGCTTCTTCCTGGGGGTACTTTTCCAAATTATGGCATAGGGAAGTGAAGTCCAGATAGCAGCAGACTATCTTAGCAGAGATTGGAGTTGAAGGATCTAGAGGCAGCTGGAATTTGTGGGTTGGGATCCTGGAGAGCAGAGAATTGCATTCAATTTGAAGGAGCCCCTTCAAAATTTATAAATGAGTGCCATTGAACCCTATTATGAAGCTAAGCAACACAATTTGGCTTAGTAGAAAACAGCTACTGTGGGATTTGAGCTGAACAGAGATTTCAAAAGAAGCTGCAAAATGGTCAGAAATGTTGTAATTCAGACCATCTAGTATGGGAGGACCTGCAGAATGCCCTGTGTTTTCAGCTGTGACTTCAGACAGATCATGCTTTAGGACCAAGGCTATTCTAGCCACTGAGGAAAGTTTACTGCAGATTTATATAACAAATCCCCAAAACATGTTCCTTTGAGATCAGCCTGATCTACCTGTAAATTAACTGCCTGGTAGACCAAAACTCTCTCTAAAATAAGACAACATAATTTGGATTCTCAATAATGATGCATCTACAATGTCTAGCATATAATTATTACACTTGTGAAAGAGCAAGAAAATGTGACTCATAAGCAAAATTTTAAAAGTTGACAAAAATTAGTATCTCAAATAAAAAATTCGCCAGATGGATTTAACAGCAAATTGCATAGTCTAAAAGAAAGGATCAGTGAACTTGAAGTTAGATCAGTATAGACTGCAAACCAAAGTATGGGGAGAAAATAGACCAAAAAGAAAAATGAACAAAGTCATAAGAGGCTCTGGGACATTATTGTATAGCCTATCAATTGTGTTGTTACAGTTATAGAAGAATAAGGGCCAGATAAATTAGGGTAGAAAAATATCAGAAAAAATAATGGCTTCCAAATTTTAAATTTTGTTGAAAAATATACATACACAAATCCAAGAAACTTATCAGATCCCGAGAAAGATTAACACAAAGAAAATCAACGCCTAGACACATCATTATCAGTTTGCTCAAAATCAAAGAAAAGAAGTCTTTAGAAATATCCAAAGGAAAAAAGGACACATTGCCTATAGGGAAACAGTGATAAAAATTATCACTGGCTTCTCATGAGAAACAACGCAAGCCAGAAATCAATGAATGTCATCTTAAAAGTGTTTGAAATACCAAAAATTGTCAATCTAGAATTTTGTTCTCAACTGAAAATATCTTTTGAAATGAAGATAAAAATAAATACATTTTCAAGTGAACTAAAGCTGAAAGAATTTGTTGCCTCTGTACCTGCACTTAAAGAAATGTAGAAAGTTTTTCAAACTGAAGGAAAATTATACCAGATGGTACCTCAAATCTAGAAGAAAAATTAAAGAGAGCCATAAAGATAAATATATGAGCAAAAATTCTCATTTCTTAATTTCTTTATCTTTCCTTAATGGAATTTTTAAAGTAAAAACAATAGTAATATGTGGTTTTTAAAATATATTTGGAACTAAAAGCTGTGGCAGTAATTGCATAAAGGACAGGAGAGTAGAGTAAATGAAATTGTAGAGTTGTAAATGTCTTACATCATATGTGAAGGGGTGAAAATGGTCAGGGTAGAAACTAGGATAGGTTAAGGATGCACAGTTTGATTCCTGGCATGCTAAAGCATTAAAGTGGAGATATTGTTAAAAAGCCATTAGAGGGGATTGAATTTAATTTTGAATAAATATTTGGTTAATCCAAAGGAAAGCAAGAAAGGAAGAAGAAAGAACAAAGAAAAAAGAAGAGATAAGGACAGATAGATAAGATAGAACACAAATAGCAAGATTTTAGACATATAAAAATCACATTAAATGTAAATGACTGGATACTGCAAAAAACCAGAGATCATCCAGGATTAAAAACAAAATAAAAAGCAAGATACAGCCATGCAGTTTCAAGAGTTGTGTTTTATGTCATTTTATTACTTTTTAATTTTTTAAACGATTTTGAAATTTTTGGAAACCTGTAAGAATAGTACAAAGAATACCCATATACCTCCTTATTTAGATTTAACTATTTTTAGCAATTTACACTTGATCAATTGTTTTCTCTATATGTACATGCGCATACACACATTTTTCTTTGAAAAATTGACAGCTGTTATCTATACTACTATTTCTAGTTTTGTGAAATAACGTTTGACAGAGCAGATTTTTTACTCCTTTAGTAGAGAAATCAACATAGGAGCAGGTATTACATTTAGTCTCCTTTCAACTTGAATATTTCTACTCTCTTTTTTTCTTTTCTTTCTTCTTCTTCAAAAGAAGAAATTGAACTTAGGGGCACTTGACCACTGAGCCACATCCAAGCCCTATTTTGTATTTTATTTAGAGACAGGGTCTCACTGAGTTGCTTAGTGACACACTTTTGTCTTTGAACTTGAGATCCTCCTGTCTCAGCCTCCAGAGCTACTGAGATTTCAGGCAAGTGCCACCACACTCAGTTTCTTTTTCTTTTCTGACGGTGGCAGTTTTGAAAAAATATGCTCTCTCCTTTTAAGACAGATTTCTCATTTGGGGTTTAAAAGACACACTTTAAAGATACAGATAGATGAAAAGTATAAGATTTTTAAACCTTTCGAGAGTGTTTAAAAAATCTGTAAAACGATATAGTTGTCAGTTTGGTTTCTAATAAGACAGATATTTTAATGATGGTTTAATGTTAAATTATTTGGAGCAACTGTCTGCTAAGTACTGGGGAATAAAATGAACAAAAGAAAGAGACCTTACTTCAGTGAAGTAGGGAGAGCCTGCAGTAGTGTGTGTTGTTCTATTAGATTCATCATTAGTGATCTTTTATACAGTAACAGCACAGGAAATCCTCGGCTAGGAAATATTTAGTGTTTTCCTACATGCAGGTTTGGGACAGAGAGTTTTGGTTCAAGTTTCCATATAGTTTTCTGCGTAGGACTAATTTAGTTTTATATACTTTATTAGAGGATTGATCTTGAGGTTTCATAGTATTCCTGGAGGACAAAATAATCAGGATAGTAGATGCCTGCTTTAAGCATATAGCAGCATGAATGAAAAGAATAAGATCACATGATGAATGGAGTTAGAAATGTTTAGAGTTTGAATCTCAGTGTTTCTTTAAATGAAAAATATTTCTTGCTGAAAAGAATTGAAGTGTTCTCTTGTAGATTAAATTTAGGCAAAGAAAGTTATTCTTGATCTTTTAGAGATGAGCATTTTTTCTCATCCAGAACCTGGGCTCTCCCTGGCAGGCAGGACTGTCCTTTAGTTGGATGGCTCATTTGTCTCAGCATGTTTGTGTCTGGAGACGGACAGCGAGGAGACAAGGCTAGAGCTATCATAGTAACAAGGTGTCACAGTTTTCTCCTGGTGTCAGCCCTGTGACCACACACCATTGCACTCCTTTTTCGGTTTTCACTCTTTTGAAACTGTGATAATGGAAATACATGTTTTTGCCCTTCTGAGCAGCAGCAGCAGCACCTTCCAAAATGTCACCTACTTGATGACATGCCTGTCATACTGTTGGCTACATGTTTTCACTTGTATATAAGGCTGAGGTACACCAGAAACAAAATTTTCATTTCTTGTGGAATTCTACATAAAAGGAAATAAGAGGATTACTTGGAACCAACTCATCCTCCTGGCATTATCGTTGTGAAAAAGATCTATTTTTTTTCATATCTCATTTCAAAACAAAACTGTCTACTTGGCCATTGTTGGTTAAAACGTACACCCCTTAGTG